TTCATATTTAATAATTTTGTGGACTTGAATTTGAAGGATTGTGGATATGTGTGGATTTTTTTAAGGTCAACGAAAAGACAGATCAGATTTGTTTTTTTTAAACAAGGAATTTCTTGGAATTCACATTTTTGCAGATAATTGCTGGTCTTGGTTGCTTGAACTCACTTTAGGGGAAACACCTGACTATTTTATGATTGGGTTTTACAAGTGTTCTGTTTGAACAATTTTTGCAAGTTTGGAGTTTGTTTTGTGGATGTTCAATTGAGGAAAGTTTTGCCACAGAATAAGCTGCTCAGCTGGGATCTCCTGTGTCTTATATACCTTTGCTTCGAGATCAGGGTGAAACCTGATTGTTCTTCTGAAATGTAACTGAAAGAACTTCTCAATATTGTATTCCCTGAGGTAGCTGTGTCTGCGAAGGCTTCAAAGAGAACCATTTGTGATTATTCACCTGACCACATATAAAAGACCACCAGATCAACAGACTTCAGAACATACACCTCATCCTTTTTTGCCTTCAAGAGTAACCACATTGACCAGAAAGTGAATCTCTGCAGACAGAAATCCATTATTTTTGTTTTAGTGTGTATTTTTTTGGGTTAGTTAAAGGGATAAACATCGATATTTTCATGTTACAAATTGTATTTGCTAACCAATTCTGCACCTTCAGTGAATGGGTCTAGTTTTATAATAAATGAATAATTTTATTAAATTTCTTATTTAATTTACGGAAGAAATATTTTTAATGGATGTCTTCATTATAAGTCTAACATGGAGAAAGCATATGATTGACAATATTGGAGCTTGAGTATAAGATTTATAATTTTTTATTGTATCCTGTGAAGAGGTGGGGCTTGGAAAAGATACTGCACTCTTCCCATATCAGTTGTAACAACATTGTTAAGCAGTTTACAATCTAAGTGGCTAATTTACTTCTATTTCCCTTATCTACAATGGTTTGATTAACTGCTTTTATAACACTTTGAAGACAATCTACAAGCAGGGATTTTTGCAAGTCAAGATCTTGGTTAAATTAACTCTGAAGGAACAATGGTATGGTACAGATGACATGATGTTTGCTGCATGTCATCTCCAGGAGAAATGCAAATTGTATTCAACATTTATTGAGCAGATTAAAGCTTTCACACAATTAGTCTTGAGATTCAATGGAAGATCTTGGTGGTATATGGCTGTTCAGAAAATTTCATCATTGTAAGACAATTCCACGATAGCATGCTTGCTTTTGTCCTGAATGGTGGAGAATCTTCTGATGCTTTCCCTGTCACAGGATTAAAACAAGGCTGTGTGGTGGATTTTATTCTATTCAATGTGGTGCTCTCTGCCATGTTTGCTGAGGCTTTTATGTTCACGAATGTGGCAATTAGATCACATTGCATATAGCATAGAAAGCAAAGTCTTCAGTTTAAGGAGATGACAAGCCAGAAACAAAGTATTTGAAACTGTGGTTCACGACTTTCTTTACACTGACGATGAAATACCTTCTTGGCATGGGCCACTTCTAATCTACCTGTGATAACTTATCGCACTTTCAGCACCAAACCACTGAAGTCATGTACCAATCTGCCACCCACAGGAACAATAATGTGAAGCTATTACAGTCAATGATTAAAAGCAGGTAACAGATTTATCTACCTCATCAACACCATCTCCAGAGCAGTTCACAGTTATGATGAAGTCAACTCCAGAATAATTAAGGCCAGTATTGTTTTTGTACTTAGTACATCATTAAAATCCAGTTGTACTTCACTCAACAAGGTGTACCAGTTTCAAAGGTTTTTACCGTGAATCTAGTGTAAAAGAACATGTTCTCCTCAGTTCGGTGCTTTTATTTGATCACAGTCTTGTGGAGTATTCAACAACTCATAGAGTCATACAGCATGGAAACACACTCTTCAGTCCAACTCATCCATGCTGAACTAGCTCCTAAACTGAACTCGTTCCACTTGCTTGTGTTTGGCCCATTACCCACTAATCCTTTCCTATCACTGTACATGTTCAAATGTCTTCTAAATGTTGTAATTACAGCTGCCTCTACCACTTCCTCTGGCAGCTTATTCCATATATGCTCCACCCTCTGTATGATTAGGTAGCATTTCAGGTCCCTTTTAAATCTTTCCCTTCTCACCCTGAAAACATGTACAAACAGATTCAAGAACAGCTTCTTCCCTGCTGTTATCAGACATTTGAATGGTCCTCTCAAATACTCATTCTGATCTCTCTCTCTCTCTCCACATTCTCTGTTGCTGTAACCCCCTGTATTCTGCACTCTGTTCTGCTACCCTGATGTACTTTTTATGGTACAATCTGCCTGCATAGCAAGTGAAACAATACTTTTCACTGTACCTCGGTACATGTGAAAAAGTTAAATCAATCAATTAAATATGCCCTCCAGTTCCATGGGAATATGTAGAATCATCCACAAGAAATTATGGATTTCTGTATTTAGAAGCATACATATGGACTCCAGAATTTGCTCTGGATGGATGTATAAATTGAAACCATCAGATGCAGAACCTTAAAAAAATTGCCTTTAAAAATCCAGGTCTATGATAAGGGATAAAGGTGACATTTTCAGGAGGGCAGCCTAGTGGTGCGCCACAGGAATCAATGCTGGGGCCACAATTATTTACCAGTTGTTACTGACTTGGATGAGGAAAGTGAATGAACTATTGCAAAGTTTGAGGTTGACACTAAAATATGTGGGAAGGCAAGTGGTGAGGATATACAAGTTAAGCAAGTGGGCAAAAACTTGGGAGATGCAATATAATGTGGAAAAATGTGAAGTTATACAATTTGAGAGGAAGAGTAGAGGAGCTGAATATTACTTAAATAGAGAAAGACTGCAGAAAACTACAGAACAAAGGGATTTGAGAGTCCTCATCCACAAATCACACACAGCTAGCTTACAAGTTTAGTAGGTTACAAGGAAGGCAAATGGAAGGTTCGCCTTTATTTCAAAGGGAATGGAGTATAAAAATACAGAGTATTTGTTAAAACTATACAAGGCACTTGGCAGACCATTGCTGGAATACTCTCTCAAATAGGACGGCCCCAAACGTTGATACTTACCTTGACCCTCCCCACCCTGCACGCTGAATCTGACCTGCAACTGTAACCTTAAAATCGTTCCCCAGTCATTTCGCCAACCACACTGCAACCTAGTCAGAACCCTTAACTTCTGAATATATTCCTAACTCTAAATCTTCACCCAAATTCCAAGGCCACCCCAAGCCAAAATGTAACACTAAATTAATCTCAAATCTATAAAATTATCATCTTAATCATAATTAGAGAAGCTGACTTTGCACTCCTTAGAGAAAGAAAGGTTGAGAGGTGGTTCGATACATGTCTTCAAAATTATGTGTTGTAGACAGAGTAGATGGAGAGAAACTGCTCCAATTTGCAGAAAAGTCAAGAACCAAAAGGACGAAGATTTAAGGTGATTGGCAAAAATAAGACGATTTGAGGAAACAATAGCTCTGTCCAGTTATCTCCCCATAATTTTGCATCTTTCCCTGCTTCGAATCTTTACATAAAGTCTTCTGTGTCCTGGTTATTTAAAACAGAAGGCAGGCTTGAAGAGTATTCTTAGGATAATGGTCATAAAAGGGTTTCAGATATAACAGTATCCTGCATCTCCCAGGAACAAAGAGCAGATTATTGGCAGGCACCATAAAATAGTTTTTGGATACCTGGATATAAATCTTAAAACAAGACCCTGGCAGAGGCTCTGAGATCAGCGTTGGCAATAGCATTTTTCAACTTGCCACTAAACAGGAGATGGAGAAGAATTAAATTCCAAACTGCACAAATGGATAATGCACTAGGAAGTTAATGGACTAACAATTTTGCAGCTAGGAGATGGTCTTATTGGTGGAGACAGTGACCTGCCTATTTCATGAGTATGCATGACCCAGCAGACCAATAGACCTAGCTCAGTATTGTTCTCTTCAGTAGCTGGACAACTGTAAAAACTGATTTTTCTAAGCTTTAGCCAAAACTGCAAAATCATGCATTACAAAGATTGACAAGCAAAAAACAAGGCTATTTCATGAAAGGCTCCTGCAGCTCTTTAAATATGCCTTCAGGATCCTGAATGAACCCATTCACTGAGCAGAAGCAATTGCATTCTGGAGGTGAATAGAAACAGGTAATTATGTCCAACCTGTCAAGATTCAATAGGGTTATATGAGAATCACTAAGGAACATCATAAACTATGTGTAGCCACAAAACTCATTGCAATGCTGGCGTATATGGGTGTTGTATTCATCATATATTGGAGGCAAAGAAAGAGTGAATAATCCAATATTGGTCATATTAAAAGACCTGCAAGATGAGAATTTAATTTTAAAAATTATGTAGTATCATAACTTCAGAATGACCCAAGGTAGTTTAAAACCAATGAAGATCTTTTGAAGTGTTGAGATTGCTATAATTTACGAAAGAAAGCAGCTAATTTAAACACAAGCTTGCACAGCTATGTTAGTTACCAGATCATATTTTTAGTGATATTGAAAGATAAACATTGATCACAACCATGGTCATAATCTTTTAAATAGCCCAAATGGGTCTTATAGGTGCACATGAGAGAGGGGTGAGAAAGGAGACCAAGCCGCAATTTAACATGTGGAAGGCAGCAATTCTAATGGTGTAACACTCCCTGTAGTGTCCGGCTGAATCTTTGCCCTCATGGTCCTGGTAACCGACTCCGAAGTGTCTGTGGGACCAACTGAGCCGCAAGTTCCTGCAGGGATAGGGGAAGGAGCAGGGGATAGTTGTTGTGGATACTGGGGGAAGGTGGGCGTGTTTGGAGGTAGGAGGCGAGGCCAGAGCCCACATGCTGCCTGTTCCTACACAAACTTGCGGCGTGTGTCTGCTTCCAGCAGAGAGTGTGACAGCGGCGGGCTGTGCAGTAACAGGAGGGTGCAGCTTGCATTGCTGTCAGTGTATGTGTGTGTCTCTCGGTGTTCTCGCTGCGATGTCGAGCGGGCTGTGGATGTTGCTGCCCGGGTTACTGTGCTCCGTCTTGCCGGTGGGCAGCGGGCGGCGGCTGGGGAGCGGCCCGGCGGCACCGAGTGTCTCCCGGGCCAGGTGCACTTCGCGCTGCCTCGCGCTGCACATCGCACACCTGAGCGCGAGCTTCAGGAGCCTGCAGGTAAGGGGGATCCACTGAGAGTGGGGCACGGGATGGGGATCCACTGAGAGTGGGGCACGGGGAGTTCACTGAGTGTTGAGCATGGGGGATCCACTGAGAGTGGGGTAAGGGGAGAGATCCACTGAGTGGGACATGGGGGTGAGATCTACTGAGAGTGGGGCATGAGATCCACTGAGAAGAGGGTATATGGAATTAAATCCTATTGGAGCATGGGAAATGCCAGATCCTACCAAGACTGGGGCATTGGGGCAGATCTCAGTGAGACTGGGTCATGGAGAGGGCTATTGGTGTTTTTCTTGGAAAGAAGGATGAGAAGAGGTTTGGTACAAGTTTTCAAAATCATGGCAGGCCTGGACAGAGTAAATAACAAGGAATTGTGCCCACTCAAAAATTGGGCGAGGAACCAGGTGCACAGATTTAATGTGTTCTGCAAAAAAAAACAAATGTTAAGTGAGAACAAATGTGCAGGGTTACAGGGAAAAGGCAGGAAATTGTCAACAAATCAAAATGCTCAGAAAGCTAAATACGTTAATAGGCCAAATGGCCTTCTTCTGTACCGTGGCTATTCTGTACTTATGTGAAATTCTCACTGAGGGAGAAGATCCCACCCAGACTGGACGTGGAGACGGTGTGTATCCTACTGAGACTTCAGTATGCAGAATGGAGACTACCTGAGACTGACAAAGATGGGCAATGGCTTCCCCCGATTCCCAACTCCACCCCCTGATAATGGGACGAATAGAAGGATGAACCCTAAAGGTGAATAGGGAAATACCTGAAATAGGAGTGGAAGACCCTAGAAATTGGGCGCAGCAGTGTTTCAGCCATCCTACCTATGTAAACACAGAGTTGGTCAGAGGCACCAGGTGGATCCAGCCCCTACAGGTGACCACTTAGGACAGGTTTTAGTCTCTGAGTTAATACAGCCAATTTGAGACATCTGCATTTTCAGACACACTTCCAAACATCAATGAGCATTATCTCAATGTTTGAATTTATGTTCATTTTCAAAAGGTTTCCTTGTAATATTGTACAAGTTTTATCTCTTAAGGAAGAAAATTCCTGTTGAAATTTCCAATTGATACCTTTAAGCCAGAATTCCTTTAATGTTAACACATGGTACCCCATATTTGTAGCAACCTGTGTAGCTTTTATCTTCAATAACTTTCCTAGTTATTATTCTGCAGCTAATTCAATGCTTTTGAAATCTAGTCATCCATTTAAGATTAATATGAAGATGAAAGTTTCTCGTAGCCCATTCATTTTTCAGCACCTGCTTGACTTTTAACAGCTGCTGACATTCAAGTATAGTACTGAAAGTTATGACTAGAGTTTCCGGTGCTACCGAATTTTCACCTCAAGTCTAGTATCATGTTTGTCCCATAGATTTCAAAAGCATCTGAAAATTTAAGTAGGGATAAATGTTTGTTTTTGTGTAGCCAGTGGACTATGCATGAGTAGGAAAGAACGTGCATTTACCTAACATTTTTCATATCTTGAGGGTATCCCAAAGTGCTTTACAAAAATTAGTTGGGTTTGAAGTGTAGTCACAAGTGAGAATAAGAAAAATGACTGTTTAGACACTGTTGCTTGAAGAACACATATTGGCCAGGATACTGGAAAATCTTAACTATTGTTCTTTAAGTTTGGACATTTGGGCATTTCACATTCACTTGAGCATTCAAATAGAATAGATTCCCTACAGTGTGGAAACAGGCCATTTGACCCATCAAGCCCATTCCAACCCTGTGAACAGCATCCCACCGAGGCACCTGACCCCTGTGTTTCCCAAGGCTAATCCACCTAGCTTGCACATCCCTGGACACTATGGGCAATTTAGCATGACCAATCCCCCTAACCTGCATATCTTTGGATTGTGGGAGGAAACTCACCCAGGTCCTTGGTGCTTTGAGGCAGCAGTGCTAATCACTGAGGCACTGTGATTCCCTATAAGCATCAGCTTAATCTTACATGGGAAATACGTCAGTTTTGATAATGCAACAATCAGCACTAAAAGCACTCCCTGTTGAAGTGTTTGCATAGATTATGTCTCTCTGTCCTCAAATGGTATTTGAATTAGATCTTTCTGTAGAGATAGGAGTATAAGGGGCCTTGAATCCAAAAACAGATGGATGAGACCCAAAAAGGCTGACGGGGGTCAGCAGACTGATACTCAACAAATCTACTCTAAATGCTGCCACTCAATGGAACACCCCCTCATAATGTTGGTGACCTTGTTTCCACATACCTGGGTAATCCTCACGGTGTTTAAAACCCTATTTTTCCCCTAGGTCCAGTTCCTGGGCAGCTACTGCTCACGCAAAAACAGAAATTGCTGGAAAACACTCAGCAGTTCCGGCAGCATCTGTGGAGAGAAGGCAGAGTCAATGTTTTGGGTCCAGTGACCTTTCTTCACTACTGCTCAATTCTTCCATATAAAAGGTCGCTTTCTTAATTCCCCACTTTCTGGCACTTTCACGGAAGCCAACCTTCCATCCATGGACTCCATTTATATGGCTCGTTGCCATGGAAAGGCTGCCAACATCATCAAAAACCTATCGCACCCCGGTAATGCTCTCCTAGAGCAATTTCCATCAAGCAGAAGATACAGAAGCTTGAACACATGCACCAGCAGGTTCAAGAACAGCTTCTTCCCGCCAATATTAGACTGAAGAGTGGACTGTCTAACTTCAAATAATGCTAATCTTGTTGATCTTGCCTAGTGTATGCCCTGTGTGACATAACCTGCACGACTTTGTCTAACTTTTTTCTTCACCCTATGATCTGTATATCCTTGCTTATTATGACCTGCGAGTACTACTCATAAACAATGCTTTTCTCTGTTCTTAGGTATACGTGACAATAAGTAAATCAAATCAAATCACTGCTCAAGACATTGCAATCATCCACCCAATGTACTAACAAGATCTGAAGGCCCTAGAACCAAAGCCACTTTTTAGTGTCGTTTTTTTTTTCAGGAAATAGAACTATCTTCTATACGTGTCCAGACATCTGACATCCTCTCCCAGTTTCCAGACTTTGAGATCTCTCCAAGTACAATCATCTCTACTGCATTCCTCCCAAACCTGGGGACCATGCCTGTAATTGCACTCCTCAGAAGCTCCATCTCCAGTGTTGCCAGATCTTAGAAATCTTCAATCATGTACCTCAAGAATCTCACACGACATGGTGAGACAACCCAAGCATCCCCTACACCGCACTAATTTTTGCATGTCTGCCATCCTCGTACTAACACCTTAAGACCGCAGCACGAACCCCACAATTTCCCTCACGTCACCAGTATTAAATGCCACAATCTCTAATTTGTTAATTGTTGCCTATCACCTTCCTTTGTATCTCAAGCTTTATACATGATAACAGATAAAAATGCAAGGGCCAATTCTCCACTGTTATGCAGTCAGCAGGGAGTAGTGCCCACACAGTACACATTGCAGGCATAAAGCTTGTGATTCTACATGTATCAATGTTAAATGAGTAGAAAAATATGGGCTGTGCATTTGCAACATGCTGTCCGAGAGCATAGAATTAGCCCTTAAAGAAACATATCATAATAATAATAATTAAGGCTACTGACATTGCTTCTGTGGAAAACTCAACAGAATCATGCAATTTAATCTGCCAAAATACTATTTTAAAATCTCAGAATACCATGACATCAAAACAAAATTTGACGTACTCCATTACTATAAACCAGTGGCACTAATAACCCACTGTATTTTACATGGCTTAACACCCTGGAATTCACCAGTAACAACTTCTTTTTCTGTCCACTTTTTTGACTATGTGGTTGTTCATGGGGTCAATAATGGTCATCTCCATGAACGTATAATTGTATGGTTGAGTGAAATATCATCCTGTATTTGACCGCATATTCTTGTTCAGGAGATAAACTTTCAATTTAGTGAAGCCTTCTGTGCTGCCATGATTCCTGTTGGAGCCATGATATTTCAAATAAATTTGTTTATAAATATTTCTCAAATACCTGCTCATTTTTAAACATGGATAATCAGCACTGCTTTAAAAATAATATGGCTTTAGGACCATTTGTCAACTTGTACAGAAAAAAGGCGCATGTACAAGAATAATATCAATACAGTGCTGTGTTGTTTATCTGTTTAACTTACCAGTGAAATTCTGAAATTGTTTTGTAAAAATTGACAAGTAAGAATTCATCAGGAGAAACCTATATAGAATCATACATGTAAGTGAAAGGATGAAAGCAAATTGGGCACTCTAAACTGGGTCAGTTTAAATTGTTAATTGTACTCTGAGAAAGTTTGCTGATATGTACTAATGTTGATAATGGAATGTTAGGAGATCATTTGATTGTAATAATGCAAGAGCTTCTTGTTAAATTTCACAGTGTTGTTTGAAACTTATTACAGTTTAGATTGAAATAAGCTGGAACATGTGTTAGTCAAGCAATGCATCACAAATAGCATTCGAAGTATGGTTTAAATACTACCCTCCAGAGTATGTTTGTATTGCCATGATAGGGTTGATTTAACAAATCTGTAAAAGAGCATGGAGCTTTTTATGTCATGTGTACATGTCAAGAATCAGACTGGGAGGTTAGTGTGCCCCAGAGGAGTTTCTGTCCATTAATTTTAGTTTTGCAGGGTCAAATGAGCACCAGAACTTGATTCTTGATAGGTTCTCCCGAGGCACAAAATACATTGCTGGGAGCAGGGACCTGGGATCTATAAAATCTACCGTTGCATTTCTAGAATTTAATCCACAACTACATTTTCACTTTAGAAAGGTAGAAATAAAGTTATTTAGAACATGAATGCTGGCATGGACCTATTGGACAGAATGGTCTGTTTTTGTAGTGGAAGTACAATTAAATAAGGTGACTGTAAAAAGTGTCAACCAGCAATATGATCCTAGAAAGCAGAAATGATAGTAGTAGCTGTTTTTGATACTTGTGCCTGAACTTTGTATGTGGAGCAGATTTGAATACAGATAATGGTGTTTTT